TATATATATATATATATATATATGCCTAGGCTCTCTAGTTGTTCTAGTGTAGAATAGACGTATGGATATACACGCATTTATGCGTGTACAAATCATTGACATAATATTATACATAATATATATTTATATTATATATAATATGCATTTATATGCTTTAGTACTTTTGTGAAAAATAGGGACGCTTTTGTATTTTTCCAACTTTTTTTCATTTTATTATTTTCGATTTTCACAGCCTGCGTTTTGTCTGTCGCCTTTTTTACTCCTCCCGTGTTTAGGCGAGTCTGTGGTCAGCTCATTCAAAGCTTCAATCACAAGTACAATATATATATATATATATATATATATATATATACATTATATATGTATAGGTAGATAGATAGACAGACGGATTCCTATACAATATGGCTATATATAGGTATATATAAATTTCAGAACAGCAAAAGAAGCAGCAGCGGCCCCCACTCCGACGGCATCTCTTTTCGTCATATATATAGTGGTACCGTCGATCCCAACACGATCCCAGCCGACCCCACACGATCCCAGCCAACCCCACACGGCCAAAGACGATTTTCTACGTGCCGTCTAATGCGTCCTCGCTGGCATCATGAAGAGACAGGCCATGTTCGTTACTGAGGGCTGTTGTTATTCAATTGTTTGGTAGTAACATGGAACTACTGCCTCCCCCTCAGGTGTTTGCTCGCTGGGGAAACTGCAAACGCCTTAATGAGCTGATACACCGTCTATAGTGGCCGCGCGGAGTTGTCTTTGTTTTGTCTCCTTCCCTCTCGTGTCTGTCTCTCTTCTTAAAGCAATTAAGGCTGCCCTGGAGAGTTTGTTATTTGCCTCTCATGAGCTGTTTCTCCTTCATATCTACATTTCCAATACGGGCACATCAAACTGCCGTTATTATTATATTATCTTTGTTTATTTGTAATGTTAGTAGTATCAATTAGTATGATTATTATTATGACTATAACGACAGCTAGAACAATAATAATAATTACTATTATTTTTATTAGAAAATGCAGCATCGGCTGCTCCTCTAAAAACTCCCGCTTTGGCGCAACCCTGGGGTGTACGCGTAGCCTGATGGGCGAGCCCCCAAGTGTCTGCAGAGGGAGGAGACAAAGTCGCCTCTGTATATGGCTTAGGGTTTGGGGTTTAGGGTTTGGTAGGTATCTTCTGGTTAGGCAGAGAGCTGTGAGGGGTGCCCGTACACCGCAACTCCACAGCGTGGCTTAGAAGGGATTGCTTTCGTTGCAAGTGGGGCGTTGATAGGTGTCTGTATATACACTCCAGAGGTAAGTAACTCCCTCTTTGTCTGCAGAAGCGAGGCAGCCTGTGCTGCTGCACCAGGCAGCAGCAACAACAGCAGAGCTGTGTGCCTTAAGGGCCCCCAAAGGCTTCAATATCTTTCCTTCATACAACTCCACAGCCCCATAAGACATGCCGCATGCGCCTACCAAACCATCAGCCCTCACTGCTACAGAAGTTACATGCGGACGGTCCCCCTCGAAGCAATCCAGCGCAGCAATGCTGCTGCTGCTGTTGCTACTGTCTCCGAAAGTACGCACCTCAGCCACAGGCACCAGACAGGCACTCCCACTGCTGCTGCTGATGTTGCTGTTGTTGTTGCTGCTTCTAGTTTCTTCGTCTGCTGTCGTCCTGCGAGGTGCATCTGCTGTTGTTGCTGCTGGTGCTGTTGCTTCTGCTGCTGCGGGTGTACCTGTTGCTGCTGCTGCAGTTGCTTTGCGTCTCCTGCAGCGGTGGAGGGAGAGGGGTCCCTCTATACACGCCACCCAAACGCGGCTTGCTGCAGCAGCTAAATGAGCAGGGGGAGACTCTGAAGGCGGCAGCAGCAGCAACGAATAAGGTGTTTTGCTGCTGCGGAGATCCCACAAGGCCACCACAGGCAGCTCGTATGCAGTCAGCAGCAAAGGGGACGAGGAGACAAACCCCACACACTGCAGAGCCCCACAACTGGACAGATCCGGAGGCACAACCAGCTGCTGCTGTTGTTGCTGCTGCTGCTGTTGCTGCTGCTGCTGCTGCTGCCGCTGCTGCTGCTTCTCCTGCTGTTGTTGCAGGGAGCTAAATAGGGGCTCGCTGGAGCTGTCTCTCTTCAGCCTGAACTCCACAGCAGGAGACACCAAACCCTTAGAAGGCCTCAAGGCCCGCAAGTCAAACAAACCCGCAGTCTCCAACTCCCCCACAGGAGCAGCCACGAACTCCAGACCAAAGCTGCTGCTGCTGCTGCTGCTGCTGTTGCGTTGTGGAGCTGCGCACTTGCAGAAGGAGAAGGCTCCTGTCCTGAATGCCCCCGTAAACTTTTCTGCTTGCAAGTCAAAGAGGGAAATGAGAGAGTCTCGCTGCTGCAGCAGCACTCTGCTGCAGCAGCAGCTGCTGCTGCTGCAGCTGCTGCAGGCGAGCGGCTCGATGTGCAGCAAAGGGCTACTGCTGCCGTTGCTGCTGGCCGCAGACGCAGCAGCACAGAAGGGGCTCCCTAGCGGATCTAATTGGAGACAGGATTGAACGGAAGGAGACAGAAGAGAGACAAGTCTACGGGCCTTCAAGTTAAAAAGAGAAACAAAGCCCCCCTCATCTCCTACAAGGAGACTGTCTCCTTCATTAACAAAGAGTAGACTGCGAGAACCAAAACCCAACGGGTTCGTCAGCCGCTGCGTAGGGATCGGAGGCAGCATTTCTGCTGCTGCTGCTGTTGTTGTTGCTGCTGCTGCTGGTGCTGCTGCTGCTGGCTTTCTTGCTGGCTGAGGTGTCTCTTTCGTGTGGCTGTCTTGTTTATTTCCTTTTGCAGTGTCTGTCTCTTGTCTCTGTTTCCGTCAGTTGTTGCAGCTGCAGCTGCAGCAACTGTTTGGCTTGTCCTATATTTCTGTCTCCATTGCCTCTGTTATCTCCTCCTCTATCACAGCGGCGAGCCAGCCGCTATTCGGGGGAGGTAGCGGCAGCAGGGGCTTCTCGTAAAGCTCCCTGTCTGCTGCTTCCGCTGTTGCTGCTGCTGGCGCTGCTGTTGGTGCTGCTGCTACTTCCGCGTTTGCTGTTGTTGCTGCTGCTGCTGCCGATGATGATGACGCTACTGGTGCTGCTGGAGATGGTGTCGTTGGTGAAGCATATAGGAGAGGCCGCCTCCACGCCTCGAGGGTCTTTCTAGGGAGATCTTTCAGACTCTGCAGCGAAACGCAGTGCTGCGACTTGGCTAGCTGTACAGCTAGCTGCAGCTGATGGTTATTCAGGAGGGAAGGGTTTACGCAAGCTACTACACGACGGGAAGCCCGCAGAGCCTCCAGCAACGTAGCAGCCCCACAATGAGAAATAATTATATCAAAGTGCTGCAGCAGCAGCGGCAAAGAAGGTATAAAACGTACAACCCTTACGCGAGTAAACCCCTCAAGCTGTACGTATACCCCAGCTGCAGTCCTTAACTCGGGATCGTCAGGAGAAATGCCGAAAGGTAATACCTTGCCACGCCCTACCTGTACAGTTAAAGACACCCTGCCTATACACCGCAGCGTATCTAAAAATGAAGCAGAACCCGCAGCAGCAATCAGACCGTCAAATGAAGTGCTGCCCACAGTCACCAGCACGCGGGGCCCCCCTTCTTCTTCTGGCTGATCCTGGGGAAGAGAAGTTTCTTCTTCTTTCTTATCCTTTTCCTTCTTTAAGGGAGGAGATAAAGGACTGCTCTGCTGCACAGAAGGTGCGGCGAAGCCGCCTGATAGGAAAGGCACCCCGTGCATGCGGCGGAGAAAAACAAGCAAAGGGTCAAAGACAACAGGCAAATGATCTCAGAGGAAGAGCTCCTCACCAATAGATACCGCAGCAGCTGCAGCAGTTGTAGCAACTGCTGCTGCTGCTGCAGCTGCTGCAGCTGAAGCACCTGCTCGTTCTGCTGCTGCAAGTATCCCTAGCAGCAGGAGGCCGCTCATCGCAAAGCATCAACTGGCAGTGAAGTGTTCAGAGGGTATAATAAAGAAGAAGGCTTTGAAAAGGAAAACAATTAACGCAATCTACTCTACACAGCAAACAGACTTGCTGCAGTATTGTGTCTTCCAGCACGGCAGAAGAAGCTGCAGGCTTAAGCGGGACTGCATGCAGAAAGCAAAACATAATTCAATGGAATTATATTATTTTGTTTTCAGTGTAAATATACCACAAGAAATAACGTGAAATGATTACCAACCTAAGATGTTTTGGCGTACGTGTATCGACCGGTCGCAGAACAACGGGGCTGGGCTGCGGGTGCAGAGACACAGCAGCTCAGCAGAGTGTATAAATAAGTTCTGTAAAAAGCGAAGAAAGAAGGAAATTAAAGTAAGCAAAACTTATTTGCAATCGATACACAGAAGATTCTGTCTGCGGACATTACCGCTCCCTTGCTTGCGACCTGGTTTGCACCCCAAGCGATAATGTTGCTGCTGTTGTGTGGATTGACTCTCCTGGTGTACATTTAGCTCAAGGTCTCCAGAATCTCCGGGCGGCCCTACAATGGCTGTTCGAGCAAATCTGTTGGGGCTTTGCAGCTAGCCGCATGCATGCGCATGCAGCTGCTTGCTAAGGAAGCCGTGCGTCTGCCTGAAGTTGCTTAAGGAACCACTACACAAGCTCGCAGCTCATCCCTAGCCCTGGGTGGTGCCTTTTGCCCCTTTGGTAGAGTTACTGATAGCGGCGCTAGCCTTCGACTTGGATATGCAATAACCCCCTCCCCTAGGGACACCAAATAGAACGGGAAAGCCCCAGCGCTGCTTCCTACTAGGTGCTAGAAAAGGGGATAAGCGCAAACGCTGCTTAGGCATCAAGTTGGGCGCTTCTCGGTAGCCCGACTTCCTTGTGGCGACTTCGTGTATTAGCAGTAGTTATCGAACGCGGACGAGTGATCTAGCGTATTTGTGCATGAGATTACGTTAGTCTGTGCAAATGGCAGTGCGGTCCTCGTCTGGGTCTGGAGACCCCCGCTACATAGCGAACAACACGGGTGCCCTTCCTGGAGTTGCGGGTAGGGCTTCTGTCTCCTGCAAAGACCTGTACGCCCGCACAAGAGCTCGCAGCTTGCGGAGGCCGCCACCCGCTGGTGGTTGCGGATGGTATGAGTACGGGTTGTACGACGTGGCACTGGAGCTTACTGAAGTTCCTTTGCGGCCGTTCGAGTTGGAGTACAGAGAGCGCACTATCTTGTCACCTGAGGAGCCCCAGCCCATCGAACTCCCCAGCAGCAGGCAGCCCCCTATCCTGGTTAAAGTTAAACATAAACCTCGCGCTTGTGCTCCACCACACCCCTCTACAGTGCGTCTCCGCTATGAACCCCAGGCCGCTCCCCTAATATTTGCTGCAGAAGGCCAACAGCAACCGCAGAAGACAGACAAAATAGAAAAGATGCCATCAACGCAACTATACAAAGAGAAAGATACTGTGTCCTCCAGTAACGCTCCTAAGACGGTCCACAAAACAGAAAAGACAGAGAAACATGAAAAGGCGGAGAAATCCGACAAAGCCGAGAAAGTGGACAAAGGGGACAAGCACGAAAAAGCGGAAAAACACAACAAAGACAAGACGGAAAAGAAGGACAAGGAGAAGAGAAAGAGCAAAGACACCACTCAGGAGCAAGCCCAAAAAGAAGAATCCTAAAAAGTATCGAGCAAATAACAGGCCGCTCTCTTCTTGCTTGTCCCTTGTGCCTTCTGCCTGTACGCCTGAGAGATATCCGAACTTGAAACATACATTCCCCTCACATCATTCCTGAGGCCCTAGTGCTTGTGCTTCGGCTTTTTTTCTGGCTATGCGTTTCACTTTGTACGCAGCTGTCTCTCCATAAAGTGCAGCGTTTTCTGCTTACTCTCCTTCAGCAAGTGCCACCGACCCCTTCCCTTTCCTTTTGTGCGCCATAACAAATTAAAGCCGATTTAGAGCCAATGTACGCTAAAGCGATTTCTCGCTCATGATACACACTACCCTGAAGCTAAGAAGGGGCGTCTCTGTAGGGCCGATGTGCGTTAAAGCGATTTCTGCTCCTACAGGCAGATGAATCTTTGTACTAACAACTCAGTGCATATAATTTTGTATATAGTGCATATATATATATATATATATATATATATACAGAGAGAGAGAGAGAGAAAGATGTGAACTAGTAGCTACAGAGTAATAATGTGCATTGGTAATTCTTTGTACGCTTTGCACAACTGGACGGGAGTCCCACTGTGGACTTTCCCATGATGCTTTTTCCCTATATTTTGTCCAGTGTATAATTTGACTCATTTCTCTTCACGATGTATGATGTGCGCTTTTTCTGAGCATGCTGATATCCCTCCCTAATAAGATAATTGTAGGGCTCAGGAAGCCTCCCCAAGTTAACCCGTGGGATTGCTTGAGTGCATGTTTTTGGGAGGACGGGGTAGCGGGTACTAGAAATCGAAAGCGTGGTTGCGCCTATCTACAACCCCACGAGGCGTATACTTAGATTAATCTAGCAGTTCACGAGGCTTTGCAGCTCAAGCAGAAACAGAGCTTCCCTGAGCCACTAGCGGAAGATTTGGCGAGCGCCCCAAGGCTTATCGACTATAGGGAGCTATTTTTGGATTATATTTGGGAGAACACATTTTGCATATTCAGCAAATAGATGCTTAATATGCGGATATAGAGCCAGAACAGCCAAAACCAGGGATGTGAAAGTTACACGGAAATCCCGCCATAGAAGGCAGGAATGGGGGAAGAGAACGGAACAAGAGACACATGAGGGCACGCAGGCAGAGTGAGGATAAAGATACTTAGCCAAAGAAGTAGGGTGAAGATAAACAGGCACGCAAAGGAACAAGCAAGGTGCTAAACATTCGGGGAGAGGAAACAGGAGATAATAGTTTTCTCAGAAACTATTTTGCATTTCTTTAGTGTACTCCATCGCGCGAAACACGTCAACGAAGGATGTGGACTGTTTGCAGTTAGTAGCCGCGAACAGTTGAGAGCGGCAGAGGCCGGCAACGATCGGGTCTAACCCACACGTTTGTGGCCTGACGTACGTAGTGTTTGGTGATGGAGCTTTCCCGCTAACAAAAACAAACATTTCCTTAGGTGCTCTCACACATCTTTGTCTAATAGTTCAGAATCTTCCTTTTTCGAACAATCGAAATCGATGAAGAAGTGCCCTTTGGAGAGGAATCAAGCTGTGGGCGCCTCCTCGCGTTGAAACGAAAGCACTCTCACCATTCCATCTAGCTGAGAGCTTTTGTATCATAGGCGCACTCCAGCGATAGCGCTTCAGCATGTGCTTGCCCTTCAACGTATGGCTGTCTCCGCGATGTGGGGTACAGACCACGGCATCCCTTACTGTACGCGAAGAAGAATCAGTGTTCAAAAAGTAAGGGACGACGAGACACCAACGGAGAGCAAGGGTGCCTCCACGAATGACAAAGGATTGTGTACACCTTCGTGATTTTGTGGAGAGGAGCGCTGCTTCCAGAACTATCCGATACTTGATAAAGAAGCTTTGGGCAGTCCGATGGGGCGTGATGAAGTGCCGGCATTACACTGCAGGTACTTCAGGGTTCAAACTCATTTTCAGTTCCTGATTCAACTAGAGTGTCTGAAGAAATGATACGTTGCCGGTGCCTTGTGGACACAAGGCACCGGCAACAAATCATTTCTTCGGTGGCACCGGCGGCTCATGCAGCCCGCCTTTACAGTCAAGAATAGCAACAGTACCGTGAACGTTTCAGCTGCGAAACACTCGCGACGCCCTACCAGGTGCTGCTCTGTGCAAGCGCCTTTGTGCGTGCGGACACGCCTTCCCTTCGCATGGTTGCTTTTCTTCTACTTCTTAGACACTCAGGGGCTGCGATTCGTGCGAAAACGGGCGAAGAGTATAAGCTTGCCACTACAACATGAGCGGCGATCTCATGTAATCCCCGGAGGCTTGTGCAGTAACCCAATTATGCGTCAAAGCCTTCTTCTTTCGAAGGACTTGTGCGTAGTGCGGAGTCACTCTCTAGCACGCCATTGTCGAGCCAACATAATAGTGGAGAAGCTTGCCAGGCATTTTGGTAGGTAAAGATGCTCACGCCTTAGCCAAGATATAATTCCGAACTTCTCCGGGATCTCAACAACTGAAGCGGACGGACACTCTACCAGGCGGAGTCGTAAAGCGTTTTCAGATTCGTGCACACATTTTTGTGGATATCTCAATGGATTTCACAATAGGTTTGTCGTCAGCATGTGACTGTGAGAGCATTACGTTGCTGTGGGTATGATTCGCAGATTTGCCCATTGCATCTCCTATTCGACTTCAGTAACGGCAAAGGGAGCGTCAGCATTCTTTTGTTCGAAGCTGCATGCACCGCTCAAACGTCTTACTGAGGAGCTTCATTGTCGCCTCAAGGCACGAATTCAAAAGTGGCTAAGCATGGTATGTTCTGTTACAGACCACAACATGCCCACAAATAGTTGGATTCCAACAGTGAAGCATCGAGCACAATTCGCAGTCTGGTGGTGCACTTGCTGCTAGCTGTTTTAGGCCACCAGCATTCATCAAGGCGGAATGTTTTTCATTGAAACAGTGCACCCTTCCACCCCATATTCCCCTAACCCGCGGGCTTTGCACCAAACCATCGTATTATGGCCGAAGGTTAGACTTTGCTGCTGTCAGTCAGCGGCGTACTCCCTCACCAAAAGGGTTTGAGACACGCCTTACGGAGGCTAGGGAGCAGGAACGGGAACAAGGGAAGTCTATGCATTGAAGTAGAACAAAAGTTGTTCAGCAGTCATTATTGGCCCTTTTGGGTCTGCTTTGTGACCGAGGAGCTCTGGGGGGCGAGTGGCCGAAGAAGTTACACCTCTTGCTGCGTATTGGAGCTCGTCTTAACGCGTTTTCTCACATAGGTGCACCTCTAACGTAAAGATGCAGGCGTACGATTATTGCCGGCATTCTAAAACAGCGGTTGGGATAAGTGGAATGCATTTGATACCTCACCATAAAAAAACCGTAACTTCATTGTGGGAATGAAAAAGTGAATGGGAATGTGGCGCGGTGCACACGGGTAAGGGAAACGCAGAAGTTACACAAGGCAGCATTATATATTTGCATTATTATAACACAAATCGAGCTGGGTTATTTAGATTGCTTGAGTCTGGCCATAAGCAGCACGGCAGCACGGCTATTTTTAGTTGCTCACACCCTTTTCATGCTGCTGCTTTATCACCCGTTAAAAGGGATTCCTGCCTGTAGATCGGCGGGCTCTACGTCGGTATCCACTTCTTAGCCGGTGACGGAAAAGGAAGGCACACTCAGACAGACCATGCCCGCAACTCAATCAGTATGACTATTTGCATGCAAGATTAGATAAGCTGTACTTCGTGAAATAGAAAGTTGTAACTCTACCGGCAAGCAACGCTTGGGAGACGGTGCAGAGAAACATAGTATGCACTGACAGATAGGCCAAGACAGATGGTTTGGGACAGACAGAAAAGGAAATGGAGCCACGTGGGTGCCAAATTCTTTTCCCCGTCGTGCCGCAGAGCGCACCAGCGTGTAGTTGTAGATAAGTACAAGCAATGCTTCGCCTGCGTTCGGCTGCATGCTAATCTGTATTTTTCTTGCGGGTTATTGCCTTTGCTGGCGGCTTTGTACCTTCATCTATTTCTCAAGAGGTCTTCCTCTACCGTTCTCCTATGCACCTATCACCACATCCATGAGCAAACGCGGCATAGACTCCCCCTTCCAAAGCCCTCTAGAACGGCATTATCATTTCCCCCCCTAGCAGGGTTATTCTAGGCACGAATTCGAAACGAACTCACCAGGGAATGTACTAGTGTATAAATTAAGCCAACACACAAGCAAATGATGAAGTAGGGAAAGAACAATTATATTCAATTCTCGACAAGTAGGAAACCGTAACAGACTGTATCAATCGGAGGCGTCCTCGCAAATGCAAACGACGCCACCCATGTCTTCCTGCAATTCGTGTTTGTCCTTATGAATAGAAATAAAGAACTTCCGCCTTTTAATGCTTGAAGGTGAAAATTTCTCCACATGAACTGTGGGGCCCTCTGGTCTACCCGCCTTCTCTTGTCGGGTCTGCGGCGGACCACCGCCTCTTCCCCAACACAGCAGCCATTCGCAAGTACAACAATAGTAAATTATTAAGTCCATGCAAAATGAATTCAAAGAAATAAAAGTAAATGCAGATTAAATGCGATTGGCCGTGCTGGCGCTTTTCTGGCCTACTCTGCGGGCATTCTGTCTGTGTGTATCTCCTCAACTTCTTCGCCTCTTCAGTAGCGTTTTAAGCGCATTGTAGTGGAGCTGTACATACACTGCTTCAAATTGGTATACACATTAGTAACACCCCAGTCTGAACCCTGAGCCATAAGAGGCCGCCAGCAACGCCGAATAAGACGCCGATGCAGCCAAATGCACTCCCGATGTTGCACTGCAGCAGGGGCTTCCCAGGCGGTCGCAGGCGCAGATGGAACCTCTCACAGTGCCTTTATAGCAGCTGCATATGCATTAAGGCTCTGTGAAGAGAGGCACCGGCAGCAGCAGCAGTGCGCAGCTCCCCCTCAGCTGCAACTATGCCGCCACTCATCCCCAGGCAGCAACAGGGGTCGGCGGGTGCTGTAACCGTAGCTGGCGCTCCACATGCTGCAGCTCAACAGAAGCAGGAACAGCAGCAGGTGCTTCCCCAGCATTCGCAACTGCAGCAGCCGCAGCAGGAGTCATTTGAGCAGCAGCCTCACGCGCAGCGTCAGCTGCAACAGCAGCAGCAACATGCGCAAGGGGCTGCTTTCGGGACATCTGTAGCTGCTGACAATCTTTTGGATTCGTTTGACGTATTTGCCTTCAATGCGCCGAAGACCCCTCAAAGAACAACCCCAAAGAATGCGGCAACAAGTAAAAGGAGGGGCGCTGGGCCCCATAGAAGCAGCACTCCCCTGGCAAAAAGAACCACCTGCAGTCCTTTCAGCCGCACCAACAGCAATCGCGTGGCAGGCAACGGCAGCACAAGCAGCAGAGGAGATTCCGGCAGCAGCAAACAGGACAATACAACCCTTGGTAGCAGCGGAAGCAGCAACAACAACAGCACAAGCAGCAACACGATGAGCGCGAGTGAGTTGCAGAGGGAATCGGAGCTAAGTCCTGGAGTGCGGCTGTCTGTGGAGTGGCTGGAGGAAGCGGAAAGGAGACGTGGATTGAGCAGCGCAGAAGTTGCTGCTGCCTTTCGGTGTCCCCTCTGCCACCAGTTCAGCATGACCTTTCGTTCGGGCCGTTATGGTAGGCTACGAAAGACTATAGAGGATTTGAATACATTTAAATCAAGTGCAGTTCTCTCGGGAAAGCATTCATCTGCAGCCCGCCGTTGCTGCTCGTGCTGCTGCTGTTCGTGTTGGCGGCGGTGCTCCTGCTGGTGCTGTCGTGGTGTCCCTAATGCAGTACTGGCGTTCACGCTTGCTGCTGCTGCTGCATTTGCTGCTTTGCTGCTGCTGCTGCAGTTTCTGCTTTGCCGCTGCTGATGCTGCTGCTGCTGTGTCCCAGGCATGTTTTTGGGCTGCTCTCGATACCCGGAATGCCGGGGGAAGGTGAGCGGCGCAAAGGTAGAGAAGTGGCGGTGCTGCACGGGCAGCAGCAGCAGCAGCAACGGAATTCGTGTCTTCTGCGAGCTTGAGGCCCCACATGCCTTCAGACTGCATGCAGCCGGCTGTACAGACACCGGCATGATGCTGACAGACGCTCTTCCGCGCATCATTCAAATGGCCGCCAAGGCCTATGCAACAAAGCAGCGGCAGCACCAGCAGCAAGAAGACAGCTGCAGCATCCCTGATTTCTTGAGGCCTCTCTCTTGGTTGCCCCGGAGTGACCGCATTAAGTCAGATGAGTCGCTGCTGCGACAATTCAGCGATACAGCCATTGCGCATGCAGTTAGTGTTGAGGGCGTGGGTTCGTGTGTATCCGAGACAGCAACAGCAGCACCTCCACCACCAGCGGAAGCAGCAGCTGCTGGAGCGCGCGTGTGTGAGTTGCGGCTTGGTGAGACTCCGAAGCGTCTCCGTTTTGTGGACTGGTCTAGAGGGTGTCTGGAGGCCCCTGCAGACGGGCTCAAGTACAACGACGGTTGCGTCTTTCTATTGGAAGCGTATCCGTTTGTCCTGCAGGCTGCAGCTTCCGTTTGCGGCTGGGCAGCTCTGACTCCCATCCCATCTCTCACCCTCCGCTTTTTTAAAGAGGTCTGGGGGCCGGGGAAGTTCCTTGTTACTTCGAAGGAAGTAAGACGGCCGCCCTCTGCTGATACTGAGTGTCTCCTGCTGCTGCTGCTGCGGCGGCGGCGGCTCTGGCTGCTGCTGTTGCCGCTGTTCTGGGGCGTTGAGTGGATACTGTGGCCCTTTCGCAGTCGCTGCTGCTGTTGTTGTGGCTGCGTTTGCTGCTATGGCCTCTGCTTCTGCTAGTTTGGTGGTGTGGGCTTTGGGTTGGCCTTACGGGCAGTTGAGGCTGTCTTCAGTCCGAACAGTTTATCAATGCCTGTTTTGCTGCAGTAGCAGCAACACAGGCATTGATGAACTGTAGTGCGGTTTCTGGTGCAGCTGCAGCTGCTGCGATTTTGTTTGCGTTGTTTGTACGTGTAGAGAGCGCTGTACGCCGCCTGGTGGCTGCTACCGCCTCGCCTGCGGCAGCATCTGCTGCCTTTTCAGTGGGAAGGTCTCGCCTACGCGTTGCAGCGGGGAGGTCGTGCGATCATAGGGGACGAAATGGGGCTTGGAAAGACCGTTCAGGCCATTGCATGCATTGCGGTCTACCGACAGTTCCCGTGTCTTATAGTCGTGAGCCTTCGACCCCCTGAACCGTATCGGCTTTCATCCGGATGGCAAGTAAATACGGCATCTGATAGGGGCCTAAATGGCGCACAATGTTGCTGCTGCTTTGGCTGCTGCTGCTGCTTTCCTAGGTACCTGCGTCGATGCGCTTGGCTTGGGCCGACGCGCTGGAGGAGTGGCTGCCGGAGTACAGCGGGCCTCCGAACTTGCGGGTCTTGTTTGCAAGTGGGGATCGTCCGTCTCCAGGGGAGCAGCATTTGATTTGTTTGTCTTCTTTCGAGATGGCTGCCCGGCTGTACGATACTCTCAAGGCGACGCAGTACAAACTTGTGATTGTTGATGAGGCCCACAAGCTCCGAGGCCCAGCTATTCCACGGCCTGCACCCTACACGGCCTCAGAAGCAGCAGCTGCAGCTGCAGCTGCAGCAGCAACGGCATCAACAGCTGCTGCAGAAGTCACAAAACTTTCAGGGGAAATATCAGATGACCGTGCCACCGCAGCCATCCAGTCAGCTGCTGCTGCTGCTAGTACTGCTGCTCCCGGCAGTGAATCCGTAGATTTTCCAACGCCTCAGCAATCCCAGCAGCAGCAGCAGCATCCGTCGCCGCGGTCCCCCCGAAAACAAAAAAACTGGAGACCGCCCGATGGCGGCCAGGAGGTGAACAAGAAGGTCTTAGACCTCGTAAAGGGCAGTCGCCACGCGTTGCTGCTATCGGGCACTCCTTCCGTAAAGTTCCCAGCCGACCTCTTTCCGCTAGTCGATGCTTTGCTGCCGCCGCTAGAGCAGGATGCAGCAGCGGAAAGGAGGCAGCAACAGCTGTTCCAGTGGCGGCAACTCGAGCTGGCCGCTGCTGAGGCAGCGGCTGACACTCATGCCGCTGCTCGTGCTGCTGTTGGTGCTACTGCTGCTCTGGCTGAAGACGCAGAAGCATCGGAGGTGGAAGGAAAAGGGGAGTGCACGGCTCAGACAGCAGGAGGAGGCTGTGTCTCTAGTGGGATCGTTCGATCCCCGTGGTCGGAGGCAACAATGGCGTGGAGACAAGCAGCAGCAACAGCAGCAAACGTTACTGCAGGTGTTCAGGCTGAAGCGTTTGGAGAGCCTTTGGACCCTGCTGTCGTCTCCGTCCCTACGATGCGCGAAAAGGAGACACTTGCCTCCTTTGCGGAGGGGGGACAGGCCCGGCGACGCGTTGGTAACATACTCAGAGAGGAGCGACTGCAGTTTGCTGGTGAGGTCGTGCGAGCCTACCTTCCGTTGCTAGTCCTCCTGCTGCTGTTGCAGCTCGTGCTGCGAATGCTGGTGTGTTCTTGTTGCGTTTTGTGCCCCTGGTTGCGCAGCCAAGCTATTGGCCTGGCCTTCTTGCCTTGGTGGTCGGTTGTCAGTTGTGTGTTACATCCTTTAAGTCTCCGCAGCTCACGCGCTTAGCTATTGTGCAGATTTTCTATGAATGTGTCTTGTAATCGGGGTTCGGGAGAGTGCTGCGTTGGCTGCAACTCAGAAGAGTACTGCTGCTCTTCACGAGCCTTCGGCTCGTGGAGGAGGTTTGGTGCCTCTCTTCGGAGTTGGGAGTTACACTTGCTGCTCACGCGGGCCGTTCTGGTACGCCGACGAAAGACTCTTAGGGACCCGGCCCGAACGGGGCCCCCAACGGGGGACCCCCAGTTGCCCTCACAAAATGCTTCTCAGGGGATATCTCAGGGCAGCACAGAGGGGCCCCCTGGCGAACAAGATGAGTTGCGCTACAGGCAGCACGAAGAGGGACAGAAATCCGTGGAGGAAGGGTATTCTTATTTGCATGCTGCGGGACAGGCTCTTGCAAAGGCTTCCTTGGGAGTCCCCCTGGCTCCCTCGAAGGAGTGCGCGACGCGAGCGGAGAGAGAGGCTTCAGCGGCTGAGTCCGAGAACTCCTTTAAAGCTGTCTCTTTGTCTCCTCTTCAGGGACTCCCGCTATCGGTACAGGAAGTAGAGCACCTTGTGGAGGGACTGCCTTGGGCCTCCCAGGCTTCCGGCGACTGTGACGCGCTCGTGCTGCCGCCCTGCACGCGCATTGTGCAGCTGCTGCTGCTGCACTGCAACAGCAAACTCCTGACAGCCATGGGGGAAGGCCTGCTGCTGCGGAAACCGGCATTCCACTCGTTGCTACGCGAAGCAGAAAGGGCTACTGCAGATTCCTCTGAGAGCAGCAGCGGCGATAGTGACTTTGGCCTGGGCAGTAGGGCTTCTTAATTATGTCCCTTTATCTCCTTTTTTTCCTTTCTCTCTACCGATTTCTTCCTCCTCTCCTACGTTAGCCTCTAGTACACAACTTTCTTGGCTGCCCTGTCTCTGCATTTGCTGTCAGTGAATGTGCCATTTGCTGTCAGTGAATGTGCGTCTGTCTTCTCCATGTTGCTCGACGCTCGCATCTCGCTCTGTGAGGCGCGCCTTGGCCTGTAATTGACCATCTAGCCAGTGCTGTCGCGAATTGTATGCACGCACCGGGCACAAGGCTGAGCTTTTAAGTTACTTCGTTCCCCGTGTGTCTGCTTGCTTGTCTGTGTCTGTGTTGGGGGCGCTGCGCAGTCGTGGGGCCGCCTAGTTCCTCCGACATCGCAGGCATCGCCGCCCAGTTAACGCGGCGGCCCCCTGCAACGCCCGCCGAGCGCGCGGGGCTTTGCAAAGTCCTGTCTGCTGCGGATTGGCTGCACGAAAAGTTCTTGAGAGACACATCGTTTGTCTCATCCTGGCCCGAAGACGGTGCTGAAGGTTCGTCTTTAATAAACATCCGTTCTCACTCCCTGCAACCCAAGAAGATCCATGGGGATTTAACGCGAGACGTTTGGCCATGTTAAGAGACGTAAAGGACTTTCTTTGCCAGAAAGCCCGCATGCATGCGCTTAGAGAAACGAATGGAATGCATGGCCCCACCTAGTTTTCCGTGCGAAAAGATGAGCGACCAAGCAGAGGCACGCGAAAAAGAGGAAGCATGCCTGTCGGCGGATTTACTCCGAAAGGAAAAAAAGGGGAGTGAGGGTGTGGGGTTTCAGTGATGTCTTTGCAGAGGCGCCGCCGAAAGTTGTGGTCTTTGCCCACCACCGACGCGTGTTGGACGCTTTGGCGGCTAGGCTCAGGGAACTGCGCTTGGGGTGTATGAACACTGCGGGGCAATTATCTGAGGGAACGCGCAGGCGCCACGGTTTCGTGCGCATCGATGGGACAGTCCCTGAGGAGGAGAGAAGGAGACGACGCCGCCTCTTTCTTAAGGACCCGGCATGCACGGTGGCGCTTATTTCAATTACTGCATCTTCACACGGGGTATGCCGCTGCTCAGGGCTGCGCTTAGGTGAAGGCCTTTTTGGGTTGACTCACTAGGCAGTCGTAAGGCGCCTCGCAAGGAGACGGCAAACTTCTGGCCTGCCTCCATCTTATGTGTTTTAGGGCTTTTGGGGTTTGGAATTAGCTTTCAGGCTGTTGGTTCTTTTGCGGCTAGGTCAACGTTTGTCGTTGTTGCTGCTGCTGCTCCCAGCTGCTGTCACAAGAAACAGCCATCAGCGGCTATAGAAGCAGCAGCAAGGGAAACATATTGTACGCACATCACATTTCTGGCGTAAGTGTTGCGCTTCCTTTGTGCTGCAGTTGGACTTTTCCGGGGCCTCTGTTTGTGTCTTCCTGGAATTGCTGCCGCAGCAGCACGAGCTGTTGCAGGCAGAGTCGCGCCTGCACCGTAGAGGCCAGCGGCGGGTGGTGACGACGTATTTCTTGCTGAGTCGCTGTGACCCTTCTGAAGCAGCTCCTTGCAATGGATCTTCACAAGAAGCTGTCTATGCCTCCTCCCCAGTCTCCTGCCCTGTCTCTCGCGACCCGCTCAGTGAGACAACAGTGGCTGGAGGCGGACAGGAGGAGACGGATAACCCGTCTGCAGAAGAAGGGGAGGAGTTGTTGCTGAACGCTTCTCCCTCCCGGCCCCTCAGCTGCCCCAGCAGACTCAGCGGGCAGTCCTTCCCTGCCTGCTTCTCCAAAATAGGGACACAGGCCAGCAGCAGGGAGTTCCGCAAGGAGTTAAGAAAGTGCTGCCTCCAGCTCTTGCAGGAGGCCGAGGCGGTCGAAGAAGCTGCCTGGCACAGAATTCGGTATCAGTCCGCTTTGGTGCAGCGCACCATAGACGGACCACTCGCTGCGTTATCCCAGATTGGGGAGCAGCAGCAGGAAGCACAGCAACAGCAGCAGTGGCAGCCGCAGCAGGAAGAGAGCCTGACTTCTGTATGCAGCTCGAGCCAAGAAGACGAAGATGACAGGCCCGCGGCCAGCGACAGTCAGCAGCAGCATCAACTGCAGCAACAGCTGCAGCAAAAGGAGGGTCCTCCTGAGGGTCTCTGCACCTCTGGCGTGTATATGTGGTGCTGCGACAGCCATCCCGGAGATCAAAATGGCATCATCTTGCCAACTGCACCTACAGGAAGGGGCGAGGGTGAAGGTAATAGCGAAACCGCTCTGCTGCGGTCTCCTCAGCAGCTGCCAAAACCCACAGTGTGGCCGCCTTTGAGGAACCTAGAGGAGCCTTTGGTTGTGGCAGTGTCTAGAGGTGTCCGGTTTCGTATCTCAAGGTACACCCAGCGCCTGCATGCGTTTACAGGTGCCGCACCCGTCCCGTTGGGTGTCTCCTTCTCTCCTGCTGAGTTGGGCACAGCTAGCTTGTCACATAGTGTTGCGGGTGCGCAGCAGCAGCAGGAGGATCTGCATCAAAAAGGCTGGCGGCAGCAGCTGCTGTTCCAGCTGCAAAATGGTTGCATGCAGTGTCCGGAGGGGGAAGTGGTACGGTGTGTCCAGGAGGCGGCTCGAGAGTACTTGAGCCTTTTCCGTTTGCTGTCGTCTTTTGAGCAGCGCCGAGTGAGAGAGACTACTTGGACGGTGGAGAACCTGCAGATGTACATACGCCATCGCCACCGCGCGCAGCAACAAAGCAGCGGAAGAGTAGACTCCCTCTTAGGGTCAGATCTTCATGAGGAGGGAAGCCCAAGGAGCGCTGCTAAGCAGGAGCAGCAGGCGACAGCTGCACCGGCAGTACTGATGCCACGCCACACAACGGACCCCCTTCTGCTTCTCCAGTCAGCAGCAGCAACCCAGCAGCAGCAGCAACAAGAGTTGCAACAGCTATTCTCTTGTATTGAAGGGGAGGAGATGGCTGGTGGAGTACTGCAGCCAGGAACTGTCCCGCTTGGTTTGAGCAGCAACAGCAGCAGTGACATGATGCAGAGCACCAACGCCAGCAATAGCCGGTCATCGGAGGCAGATGAAGACATCCCTTCCGGCATTGTCTCCTCGCGGTACTTCTCAAGCCAAGCTGCATTGTTTCCCAGGGCTCTTGGTCCGGTGGAGGGGTTTGCACTCTCAACTGCTAGCACTAAACCGCCAGGTGGCCCTATATCTTCTCTTGAAGATAGAGAGAGCCGCCGTCATGTGGTGCTGGTCCCTGTTATTCTCAGCACCCCAAAGGCAGCTGGGGGTAATGGCGGGGCGGGGGCGGCGCCTAAACATCTGCAACCTTTTTCTCTGGAGTTGCAAAAGGTACTATGTGTCTCTTGCATGCAGCCGATCTCAGCTGTCAGCACAACGCGCACTTTCTTGCGCGTCGAGGTGTTCGAAGATACCCAATCATGTGGCGCTCAGGGGCAGTTAGCTAGGATAAGCGGGATGGATGCAGAAGACGGAAACACGAGAGAGAGATCGCTCGTCCCTGCTTCCGCGCATCCAACAGAACCGAGTGCAGAAACGCAGATGTTTTGTGCAGCACCAGGCGGGCCGAAGAGAAGGTCCGAAGTCATGACGGCTCCGCAGAACTTTGCAAATGATTCCAAGCAGCAGTGGCTCATTCGATGCTGTGAACAGGACCTCACGTGCAGCGGCCGCTGCTCCGACGCCTACACTGCGAGGAGGCGGAGGCAGGCACTGAGGAGGCAGGTGCGCTTGGTCTCTTGGTGGAGCGCAGCCCCCCGTTTTTGCAATTGTTTTGCAATTGCTGCAGCTACACAGCTCAGGCTCATGCTGCTCTGCTTGCTGTCTGCTGCTTAGCTGGGCACAGTGCTTGCGTGCGTCCCATCAGGTGGAAAGACATGATCAAGGCGTCTGCAGCAACTGCAGGTTGGATTGTTGGGAACTGCTGATGGCCTTAAAAATGTTGCATGCAGCAGGAGAGCCCCAGTGGCGGGTTGAGGAGGAAGTGGTTCGTCTTGCCCCCAGCGTGAGTGCGTGGGTTTGGTGTACGGTTTTCTGCGGGGAAGGGTGTTATAATGAGTCTCAACACTGGATTATTGCTTACCACTGTGAGTTTTCGTATTTCGGTTTGCATCTTCGCGCGATTACAACTACAAACACAGGCCAGAGGGAGCTAGTGGGGCGGCAAGGTTGATGCTTGGGGTTAGTAGTTCGGTACAACGGTTTAGGGTTTGAGCAACGGAATTTGCATGCGTTTTTCCCGTGGATTTTCCTATGCGGGGTCAAACGAGAATTATTCCTGTATCCGAAGGCAATTGCGTGAAGGAAGTTTCATGCGTATTTTCCACTGCTTGTTGGTTTTGTTGCTTGGGCATTTAGTTCCGCAGGTGGCCATCTCTCATTCGAAAGCTTGCACGCCACCTCACAGCAAACTGCGCCTGGGAGGCGGACCACAGGCAACCCGTGAAGGAGGGTGGAGGCTTGGCGACGGTGGACGCTGTGCAGACTCTCTGCAAGTGAGCAAAGGGTTCAAATATTTGTACTGTTTAAAGCAGCCACTCAGCCGTTGATCTCACTCCTTAACCGCATTTCCTGCAACGTAACTGTGTAAGCAGTACATGCAGGTGTTCAGACTCAACACCTTTGTAGGACTTGAGTACCCAAGTCGAAATTACGTATCTCGGAACAACCAAAAGAGAAGAATTCACCTTCAAGTTTCAGAAATTTTCAGACAGGCGATTTATCACTGAGCTCATTCCTTGTGTTTACCCACACAGCATGCGGGTATCTGCACCTGTTTGCCTTTGGATCTGTTTATTTACGCCTGCAGAGCATGTCATCTGGAGAAGACCATTGAAGAAAGGAGACGGCGGAAACGCCGTTTCATTGACACGAATCCTGGAAGTACTACTAACTCCTAAGTGCCCCATTCCAGCAGGGGCTTGACTGCCAACTCCATGCAGCCACAACCATACTTGTTTTCCTCAAAGCCCCCTTTTTTACGTGTTTACTTCTGCCCAGGTATAGGGATGCACACGAGCACTTTTGGTTGTTTGCTGGAAGACGGACCCACCCGTCCGCTTTCAGGGGTTTTCTTGTTCAAGCATGCGAAATGCGCTTGATAGGCGTGTACAGGCCTGTTTTCAACTGATTGTCTTGCGCTGATATTTGTTTTGGTTGGACTCGAGTATAGGGGAGCAACAGGGGAACAACGCTCGCTGCAGTGCAAAGAAGAACTGTTTCTGGATATGCGCAGGGAACGAACTGCAAAGGATGCCTAAGGTGAATATTGCGGAAACGGAATCTGAGAAGTGAAAAAAAAAACAAATATCTTGATTGTGCTGATTCAATTTAATTTGGTGCAATTTGGAAGGCGTGATTCAACGGGTACTCATTGCTGCAAAAAGGTTCGGCAGTTGCGAGTTCAGTTGCTACCCCGTTGCATTGAGAATGGATTTAATATAATTGACGAGAAGCACCAGGGCTACTAAGTGGTTTCATAGACCAGTTAGTTGGCGTATATTGACGCTTGGAATTTGCGCAAACTGGCAGTCAGCAGATGTGAACATGTCACGGTAGTCGATGAGCTGAGCAGGACCATACGAATCGTTTCTCGGCTTTGGGTACGGGGCACTGCAGCACCGAATTTATTTTTAGCAGCCTAATACTGCCATACTCTTGGGTTTGAAGATAGTGCTTGTTTAAGGTGGCGCCTAAGTTCTGTTGCGTGGTGCAGTTTCACAGGGATAAAGTGTTGCTCACGTCCTCAGTAATTTTTGACTCACTAGGCAGAGCGCCATAGCCCTAGTGGTTAAAATTTAAATTTTCACATGGTTTAGTTTCCCACGTTTCTCCTTGCGGCTCTCTCTTTGTTAACTGTTAGCAGATCAGAATCCGCAGGCCGTGTCGGCGTTGGCGCGGCTGGGGTGCGTTACTCCTGCATCGAGCCGCAGGAACCCCGATCCCCTAGGCGCAAGTGGCAGTCAGACAGCCAGATTTGATTGATTTTGAAGCGTGGTCCCGATTCTTAGGCAACTAATTTGCCGTTTGCTCCATCAGCCTTCACGTTCTGACGCGTTTCACATCCACGAGCAGTCGGCATTGACTCAACGTCAACGTGGGCGCTACGAGTGTCCGTCAGTTTACTGCGCATCTGCTTTTTCCATATCCTCAAGAGGAAGAAAATGCCACTCAAAAAATTCGGAGAAAAGCTTAAAAGCTCCTTCCATCACCTATCGCCAAAAAGCAAGAAGCACGATGAGGCAGCAGACGGTGACCTCTCTCCGTGCAGCCTGCCAACTGTTGCAACATCTCAGCAGCAGCCTGTTCAACAGTCTGCCCCACCAATCCAGCAAATCTGCAGTCCTAGTCTAAATTGTGCAAACGCAACCAACAAATTAGCTGAAGACAAACCCCCCGTGGGAACCCTCGACCAGCCCAAGGCACAGGAGGTCCCCGAATCCATGCGCATTCAAACCCCCGTGCCTTCACCTGCTGTTATTGAACCAGCTTCTTTGCCCCCCGATGATAAGGAGGTCAACTACAGTCCATGTGGGTGCGAAATTGCCACCCCCAGATGGCAAGTAAACGAGTGCATCTTCCCAACTATGTACTACCTCATCAAAACCCACAACAGAGATCCAATAACTCAGAGCGTCCTACTCGTCAACCCTTCAAAAAGTGACAAGGTTAGTTTACGATGATTCACCAACGACAGCATTAGTCAATTTTGGAGTGTGGTGTTTCTTCCCCGATAGACTAACTCAAATTCCCAACTCGCGGACAATACACGATGCAGCTCGGTCAGCAATTACCAAACTAGAGTGAGGCATGCAACTATTCGCAGTGCCATTCAACCGAGAGGTGCTTCTCTCCTGCGAAACTCCGCAGACTTTCAATCTCCGCCTCTCCGGAGGCCACAATGCCGCTCTCGAGAATGAAACCGCAAGCATCGCAGGTAGTTATGTGGAGCGGGTGAACGTCACATTTACCCCCGTACGTAATTAAGCCGTAAATTTACCGTTCACTTGGTCGCTAAGATTAAAGAGGCTGGCTGGAGCCAGTAGCTGCCAATAAAACCCTGTCGTAACGCGTTCGTTGCGTAAACCGTTCCGCTCCGCAGGTGAATGAAACGGAGGATTTGTATATCGACCTGCTCCACGGAGGCAACTTGTATGACAAGATTCGAGTGCAGAGCCAGCTTCTGTAAAGCTGAATCCTATCCCTCCTCTGCTACAGCCTGCCAGCTGAACTAGTTGCGAAGATCCCTAGTACCTGAACTAGGACCGATACCTAGTACCCTACACCGTCCGACGATGTGTTACCTAGCGGGCGAAACTCTACATCCAACTTTGAAAAATATTTGTTTTGTTAAAAGAAAAGCATTCATTTTAGATTGACTGCACAGTTCCCATTGTTGCCCGTTAATGGACAGACCTGTTCAGTCACAGAATGGCCTCGTGTAAAGTTCACCCTAGAGATCACGCACATTACCATGAACGCAGGCAATACATCACAGATTCGTATCCTTCCCATATCCTATGGCTCGCACCGCACCTCAGCAGCGTACTGAGTCCTTGAACTCAAGAAGTTCAACTTCGCAGGATTGATAAACCCCTAGGGAATTAAAACGACCAGCACATGCAATGCAACGAGTTGGCCACCGTGGCACACATGACTGTGCCAAGCAAATGAACTGTCACAAATGCAAATGTCCTCACTCTGCAGCTATCCCATGAGCCGACTCGAAGCAAGCTGCACAATAAACCCCCAACTTAACACAAAGCATTACCCAAAGCATTACCCTAGATTCTGCCTCTTCCTCTTGGCGCTCGCACAAAGGCTACAAAACTCATCAACCTGCCAGCCCAGGAACCCCTAATGCGAATCACGAAAAAGCACCCAAGGAGACACTTAGAATAACCCTACAATATACAGTAATCAGCCTACTTCCGCTGTTACTGTATACGCATGATCAACCCAGAGAACGCATGCGTAGATGTTGGCCAAGTTGCTCAACAGAAAGGATACGATGCAGGTAGCCCTGGCCAACTACAGTCTAGCCAAAAGTGATTCCCTTCAGATATCTAAACAAAAGCTCATCCTCCATTCGTTGCATGATTGAATGCACCGTTAGACACCGCAGACTGCTTGGTTGCTGCCCAGGTGTGTCTGTCGCTACCGAGAAGCCACTGTCAAAACAGATAGCAACGCAAATCCGAACTGTATGGACCACCCCAATGTCCCCCCAGGATCCAGCAGCTTCTCTATAGCCACCGTCTTTCTGACACATATAGATAGCTTATTATACTCCCAAAACCGGCGAAGATGTATTCACGCCATCCGCTACTTGACAGCCAATCCCCCGGCAGTTCGCCGCCTGCCTCAGGAAACCGTCACAGGGGCCATCGCGTCGTTGTTCGAATAGGTACAGCCAACACGCGGATGGTCACAACGGGGTAGATAGAGAATGAGACGACGGAGACTGCCGAAAGCAACAAAAACGAAGCAAACCCCCTCATCAATACGCCTTTGTGGATGAGGGGGAGCGCTCACATCTTGAATCCGCCAGATGACAGGTATAGGGCTCAAGACTGAGCCTACAAAGTCTTGAACAGAAGAACGCGGGCAATTTGCCCTGTAGACACGCCGAATAGCTGCTGCTCCTGTTGTGCTGCTGCTGAGCCCACTTGTGCCCATCATGTGGAATAGAATTTTGGACAAAAATGCCCAAATAGCAGCCGGCCGCTGCTTCGCCTACGATAAGCGCAGACCTCGGATAAGCGCCACCCCGAACTGAATACGGTCCCGTTGCTCTCCCGAGGCTTTCAGCTAGCCATACAGGGTTGGCCCCAATTGTAATGGGTTCCCATTTGACCGTTATCGCCTTCATTTAGGCGACCCAACTCGGCAGCAAACACCTTAAGGTGTCGTAAGAAGGCCACTGTTGACTCCAGCTAGCCCAAAGAAAAAAATACCCGACAGCGACGGAACAGCAACGCCGTCTGAGCAGAGCTGGCGCCCGTATGATTTGGCGCTCAGCTTTGAGAACACTGGGTCCACTGGGAGCCGGTGAGGGCGCGGTGGCGAGGCGAGAAAATCTTAAGAGGGTTTCTGTTGCGGAGAAGATGGTACAATTGGGTTCGTTAGTAGGCGTTTAACTTGTGGATGTGGCTCCACCATAAGCCGTCACAGCCCATGACGCACGGGCTCCGTTCTCTTATTTCTGCAGCAGTGCCACATACTGCAAGCCAAGACAGCGGGTCATGAGAGCCACACAGGGGAAGCAGTTTCGCGTCTCACGCCAACCGTCCAGTACAGATGGGGCGGCGGCGTGTAGGTTCGGCAGTCGAATAAGACAAAATGACAGAAAGGTGGAGGTGGAGAGAGGGAAACAGCTTCAGAAATCAGAAAACACCGGAAGAGCTGCAGCTACCCCAAACAGCGCACGACGAGAATTTCCAATCACCTTGCCGGCACCAGGACAATGGGACGCGCAGGCGTGAAGGGAGCAGAAGGCAACGGGAGAGCCATGGGAGGGAGGGGCAGAGGGAAGGCGCACATGGGCGCGGCTTGGCCTCCCTGAGCCCACTTGTCAGAGAAACCGTGTGTTGGTGAGTGAGCTTCAGGGACTAAACATCGACCGCAAATACATCCGCCGCAGTAAATACATCCTACACCCTTTTAACTGACTGCACCCAATTGCATCATATCAGAGACGAAGACTTGCACTGCAGCTGCTCCCCTCCGGGAGCAACCGTCCCCCAGCCCACCTACATACACCTAGACGAGGAAGCAAATCATAGGCTGAGTGGACAACACCAAGCGGGCAAGTCATCACAGCGCTGTGGAGTTTGTGTCCAGAGGCGTCATTACGCCGCGCCACAACTCGACACAACAGAAGATAAAGAGAGAATGAAAACTGAGAGCAATCCGCGGTGAGGAGAATGGTATTAGCAGCACGCTCCTCCTGTCTGCCTTTCTGGATTCGACGCAGATTATAACCAACCGTCTTCCAAAACAGAGGAGGAGCAGCACAACCAAGGGCAAAAGAATTCACCACTATAACCGTGGTGGAGAAACCCCGACCCAGGACGCGCGCAGCCTTCAGAGGTCACGGGACCTCAGCAGTCAACACGTCTCTCAAGCCGTTCATAGGGCTTGCTAGCTGCAACTCTTCGTCGCTAGCTGCTGTAGTCATCTTGTCCTCCGTCTCCATCCCAAACCCGCCGCACATCGACAGACTGTCTCTGCTATTACAGCGGGATGTGGGTGCAAAACTGTTACTGGGGGACATAGCAGCCTCCTTTATCATGACGTCCCCCTCTTGAAGTAGCAACAGTTGCTGTTGCTGCCGCAAAAGCAGCAGCTGCTGCTGCTGTTGCTGTTCCAGCAGCAACTGCTGCTGTTGGTGGTATTCCCGCAGCAACAGCAGCTGCTGCGCACGTATCAACTGGCGATGGTGTTGATGCTGCAGTTCCATGAGTCGTTCTTGGCTACACAACCGACTCTGCAGCTTCGGTGTTGCCTGCTGCTGCTGAATTTGAGCCTCGACCATGAGGCGCGTCTGCTGCAGGGCCTGACGCTGCTGCTGCTCGTATGCGCCTACGTATTGCTGGCCACAGCTCTGCCACTGCTGCTGGATATTAGACCTCACCATGGCCCCCTCTTGCGAGAGCACTTCGGTTCTTTGCAAGCACTCCATGTTCCTTTCTTGCTGCTGCTGCTGAGTAGGGGCCGCTGCCCCCCCAGAAACAGCAGCAGCTGCTACTGTGCCTGCACCAGTGCACGACCCTGCTGGCAAACGTGGTGGCCCGGCTTCAGGAGTCGTCGACACCGTAGAAGCAGTTGAAACCGCCACTAAACCCCGAGAGCACTGCTGCTGCTGTTGGTGCTCCTGCTGCTGCTGCTGATGCTGCACCAGTGCACGTGACTGCACCTGCTGCAGAGCAGGTGTTACTACGTCGAGGGACGACCGCTGAACCTTTGAACAACAGTCTGGGCTGGAAGAGTCTATACCACCAGGCACTGCATCAGGCGCACCCACATGTTGCTGTGGCTGTTGCTGCTGTTGCTGATGCGCCTCCGCAGGAAGTGCGTTTGAGACGGGCCGCTTGGGGCAGGCGAGGAGGACTGTGCTCCGGTACACCGCATACTCCTCCTTCGAAACCGTCAAGTCAAACTTCACCAGTTTAAGGAATGCCAACTCCAAACGGTTCAACTCAGTCAGCCCCACTCCCCCCACTCTTGCATAGTACCTGTTGCTGTACCTGCATGCATGAGCACACACCGGAAGCCCCAGGCCTTTAGCACTCGCCATTTGCACACCTGGCACTGCTCTACCTGATGCTGCTGCTGAAGCTGCTTCCACCACTAAAGCTGCTGCTGCTACTGCTGCCATGGTCACCGCACCGCACGTCCTCGACGAACTTCACCCCGACGACGCTTGCAGCCAGCACAAGTCTGTGGATATTCAGGGCGTTGATCTTGATGTGGTTGGCTCGTATGACGCGATCAAGGTAAATGAGGGCAAAGACGAACACCTCCTCCGAACAACGGAAGTGTCGATACAGCCGCGGGATGTATGCAGCAATCGATGTTGCCGGCGGACAGATGGACTGAAACAGTACAAACTTACCACAGACGAGCGATGAGCACAAGCACTCCAACGGCTAAGTACACGTCATGTGCACGCACGCACGCGTACAAACAAATGCAAGACGCAGCGCCATACACGAACACGCACGCGTACACAGCAGCAGCGGCAGCATAGCATAGGACGAGCTTACGTCAAATCGTGTAGCCACACTCGGCCGTCGACACGGCTCATCCCCGCAAGTCGCCAGTTGCTCCATTAGCAACGACATCTTCTCAACAAACAGCGGACCGGCAGGCAACACGCCTTCCTCTCCCCCGCAGGCAGAATAGCCCTTCTGCTGCGGCTGCTGGGGCTGCTGACGATGTTCCTGCTGCTGCTTGCATATGCCTCGCCCCTGCTCCTGCTGGAGTTCCTGTTCTCGCACTTCAACTTGCTGTCGAAAGACTTGCTGGTGCTGGTGCTGCAGCAGCAGTTGATGTTGTTGCTGGAGCATATGCTGCTGCTGCAGCAGTTCTTGCTGCATTAAAAACTGGTCCTCCGTACAACCACATTTGATCGCTCCGTCCTGGGGCGCTATTTGCACAACCGAAGCCTCCATCCTCGCCGCAAAGGTGCACCAGGTGCCGTCGTAAGTTCAGACAGAGACGATCAGCAGTGGGAATGAGGAATGCCCCGATAGCCGCATGGGAGCAGCTGCTGCACCCAGCGCCAAACTATGCTCAACCTGAGTGGCCTTCGTCGAGGTGTTGCACCGAACAACTGGACCTAACAACACCGACCAGTGAACAGGGCCTCAAGATACAGCAGTCCCGAGAGCAGGAAGGGGAGAGAGCATGGTCACCGCTGCCCGTCGGAATCGCGAGTACGCAGATATGGCTTGCCCACGCATTAGCTGTTCTTCTACGACCTAACAGATGCTAAACACTGTCCACCCATGCGCTGGCGACTTACGCAGGCCTAGCCACCTTCTCGGCGTACCGCCGTCCCCCTAAACGCCTTAAAGCTTTACTTCTACCGCTGTGACGATATTCAGCCTTGACAAACGACCATAACAACGCATTTGAGTATCGCAAAGCAGACCCCTAATGCTGCACAATAAAGCCGTGTAGCCAAATGCGTCCCTGGGCTGCTGCCAGAGGTTGCTGCTCTGTTGCTCCCACAGAAGGGCAGAGGAGAGGAGGACCTAAAAAGACCCGCCTAGGCCTCCAGCATGGGTACAACGAAAGCAGAATCGCAAAAGCAAGACGCCTATGAAAAGAAGAGACCTAAACAGGTGTCACCCGCAGACATGCGAAGGGGCAGAGGGGGAGGCGACCAAGGGCCCGCGGCAGACGTTAGAATATGAACGGAATCGACCCATACAGCTAAACACGCCCACAGGTTCCAGCAGATAGCCATTAAAGGGGCAGATTCAATTCAACTACAGCCATAGATACATGCCCCTGGTGTAGCTGCTGCAGAAGGCAGCACGCCAAAGCAGCACTGTGCGCCATCGAGTGTGCGGAGGCGCTGTTCTGGGGGCAAGAACGAGGGGAGGGGAGTGGGGGGCTGCACCGAAAGCAAACCAACTGTAGCTCTGAAACATATAGTTTTCTTTTTACAATTGCTCCTGAACCGAGGTGAATACGCTCACCCTCTCACGAGAAACTGCTCCCCCATCCTGGGTATACGAAATGGTGGGCTCCGAGAGACGCGGTGCTAGAGGCGAAAGTGTACTGCGCATAATTTGATGCTACGTGGCTAGCAAGTATTTCTAATTTTGCTAATTTCCCTACCAGAATGCCGTTATGTAAGGCAATGCATGGCACTGACGTAGAACAAAGAGATCACCATTCCCCATAAGCCTTGCAGCTTCCCTAGCAGAACCTGCCGAGTGCAAAGTCTAGTATGGTGTGTCTGAAGGTGGTTGTTGCGTGTACTTCCACTTTCTGGTGGGTTGACTACTAAGGGACAAGTTACGTGTTTAACGATTGTCTACAATGTTAGCCCATGCATTGTAACATCCTCGAGGGACGTGTAATGGTCCTCTCTCTAGGCAAGCAGCTGCAGGAACTGTTACTTGGCCCTAGTAGGCAGTCTGCAAGCAAGCAGAACAACAACACTTCTCTACAGTGTTAGTGCAAACAGCAGGAATGGGTTTGGTTGTGAGTGCATGTGAAGATGCCGTGCAGCGCAAGCTGCAGCGAGGTGCGTTGCAAGTCGTGCCAAACTGCCTCCTCTCCCACAGTCCCAGGCCCTTCGGCCAGTGTACGCACAATGTCTCGGGACTGGAGAGGAGGTCAGCCCTTTTTGCGGAGCACTTACCCTAAGCGTTTTGGCTCTATCGAAGCTCAAGACGGTCCCCCGATATGGTCGAGGGCTCTCCTTACACTTGATATCACAACATCATTCATCGGGACAGGTGCGAGCAACGAAGCCCACTCCAACAGCAGGGCGGGCTGTGGCATAACAGTCACTAGCGCCGAAGGTACTTTTCAGTACGAAGAACACGTAAGGGAATTCCCCAAAGTCTTTCGGAAAACATCATCCTTTTTGTTCTCATGCTTCATGGAGATTGACAAGACCTACCCTGTGGCAGGGAGGCCACCAGCGGTTTGAAGTCTTGTTGCGCTGGCAGCAGCCCACTCTATATACTCCATCCAAGGGGAAATGTCTTTAGAGGACACAGCAAAAGTGCCTCTGCAGAATATGGGTGGTGCGACGCGCAGGCAGTGGTGTTTCTCTACAGTTGTACTTCCGTCTTTGAATTGCGCCCGAAGAGCCACAGTTGCTATTTTCATCGTCACTATTACAAGGAGAGGAATGACAGGGGTGATGATATCTAAGCAAGGGTTTCCGGTGCATTCATTATT